CCGGCAGCCGCCACGCTTCTCGCTGGCCAACTCGCAACTAGGCGGGAGCCGTCCCGCCAGCCTTTGTTCGGGAGAAGGACGGCTGCGTGCGGCCGCGCCAGAAGGGCTTCGCGGGCGGGTGCTCGGCGTTTGGAGCCGCCTCGTCGGACGACATGGAGAGGCTTTCCCGGGCCTGCTCGCCGCTCGTTTCGTCGTGCCTCAAACTCCGCAAGGGGTGGGGGGGGGGGGGCGCTCGTCATGCCCCCCTGGTGGCGGAAGAAGCGGCGCCGCCTTTCCAGACATGTCGGCGAGTTGAGGTCACCACGCGCGGCGGCTGATGAAGCGGCGCCTGGGGGCCCACGTGCGACAGATGTGCCGCGATGAAGAGAAGATGAAGAGCGCTCGCGGCCGAGGGCCTCGCTCGCTCGCTCGCATTGGGATTGAGTCATGCGGCGGCTGGCTCCTTTCTTGCGGAAACGCCGCCCGGCTTCATGCTGTGGAAGTTCCGGTCAACAACCCGTGTGGAGGTTTGAGGCCCACCCCCACTGCGATATTCGGCACGAGGAAATAATAAACTGCTCACTGGTTCATGAGAGAGAAGGAATGCAACGAGGGGGGGTTTCCTTTTTTTTTTTTGGTCCGTCCTTGAATATTTGGAGCCGTTTTCGAGGACCAAGACGCAAAGGCCGAACTGCTGAAGTGGCCTTTGGATTTGGGGAAGACAAAATGCAGCTGTCGTCGTCGTCGGTGCTTCGGCCTTGTCCTCAGGCCGCGCAAAGCTGCGTGACTCTTTGCGCGCGATTCGGTTGCCGTCGAGTGGCGGGCAGGCTGACGACGAAACGGTTTAGCGCTCGGGTCGCAGCGCAAATGTTTCTTTCGGCAATCGGCTTCCCTTCGATTCGGTTTTCTTGTTCAAAGCGTCCGAAATGAGATTGGTGGCGGCGGCGCCCAGAGACTTTTGTTTTTGACGGCGCTTTTCATCAGCCAATCAAATGTGTTTGCAGATGCAGCAGCTGTTCTACGAGAACTACGAGCCCGACAAGACGGGCTTCATCCGCGAGCTGCGCAGCAGCAAGATTCACCGGGCCATCACGCTGCACCCCAACAAGAAGCCGCCCTACCAGTACCGCCTGCACGCCTACCTGCTGAGCCGGCGCGCGGCGGCGCTGCGCCACCGCAGCGTGCGCCTCCACCGCGAGCTGGTCCAGATGGGGCGCCTGGATTGGGACGGGCAGCCGCCCCGCCGCGGGACCGACGCGGCGCAGCGCCGGGCCCTGGACGACATCGTCATGCAGGTTGGCGGGCCGCGCGCGGGGACGCTTCCGATGGGGCGGAGGCCGTCGAAAATACCAAAACCGACCAAAAGTCCCTTCCAAATGGCTTGCCGGAGAGGTTCTCCTCCGATCCAATCCGGTCCCGATCTGGCGCTTTCACGACAGCTGCCGCCGTAACCGAGCGCTTCACTCTTGGCTTTGGTTTGGGCTTTGATTCTTACCCCCCAATCGTAGCGCGATTCGCACCGCAAGCGTGTTCAGATGCCGCCGCAGAACTGCCGACGCTTTACTGACAAACGCTCACTTTGCAATTATTTTGCTCAAATGTCGGCGAAACGCTCAAAAAATCGGAAGGGCTGAGTGGAAGCCGGACAGATTTCCGCCTCGCTCTCGCGCAACCCGCGTCATCTCACGTCACGTTACCAAGAAATCACCTCCAAAGGTGGCCGAACCTCGGGCGCCGCGCCGGCTTAGCGGTGAGCCGCTCACGCCGCCTAACACCGGAGTCACGGCAAAACGCCGGCAGCAGGCGCCGTACAATACATTGTCAGCATCAATGAAAAAAACAACATTTTTTATAGCAAGCGCACTCGATTTCAGGACAAGGTTGTGTTGTCCGCGTCGCTAGCGCTGCTTCATAATATCGATCGGAACACGATGCAGAAGACGAGTACGGTCGGCGCCGTCCACCGTTGCGAACAAGCGTCCCATCCCGATGTCCACCTATTTTGAAGTGGCGTGTTCCGTGAGCGTTTGGCGTGACCGCGGAAAGGGCCGTCGCCCGTTTGTTGCCGACGTCAAGCGGCGCCGCGTACGGGCCGTCGAGAGCGGCCGGGGTGACTTTGCGTCGCCGAGGGCTTCCTTCCTGGAGGAAATGGCTTTGACGGCACGCTGGAGCGTGCCGTCAAAGCCATTTTCCGGGCCGGACGTAGGCCTGACGCCGGCCGCCGTTGTGCCGCTTCGCCGCAGGTGATGGAGATGATCAACGCCAACGCCAAGAGCCGCGGGCGCGTCATCGACTTCAAGGAGATCCAGTACGGCTACCGGCGGGTCAACCCGCTGTCCGGCGCCGAGTACGTGCTGGACCTGCTGCTGCTCTACAAGAAGCACAAAGGCAAGAGCGTGACGGTGCCGGTGCGCCGGCACGCTTACCTGCAGCAGACCTTCAGCCGCGTCCAGTTCCGCGAGGAGCGGCCCACCGATGCCGCCGCTCTGGCGGGGCGCCTCCAGCGCGCCTCCGACTCGCTCTCCTTCCTGAAGATGCTGGTCCCCTTCCGGCCGGCGGCGGCGGCGGAGGAGGCCGGCGAGCGTCCGGACGACCGGGACGAGAAAGTCAACATCCTGGTGCCGCTGTCGGGCCGCTACGACGTCTTTGCGCGCTTCATGGCCAACGTGGAGCGCGTGTGCCTGATCCCCGAGCGGAACGTCAAGCTCCTGGTCCTGCTGTTCAGCGCCGCCAACGCCAGCGAGCGGGTCCGGCAGGTGGAGCTGATGCGCGACTATCACATCAAGTACCCGCGGGCCGAGCTGGAGGTCAAAGCCGTGGCCGGCCCCTTCTCGCGGGCGCTGGCGCTGGAGGCGGGCACGGCGCACTTCTCCAACCGCTCGCTGCTCTTCTACTGCGACGTGGACCTCCTGTTCACCGCCGACTTCCTGCAGCGCTGCAGGGCCAACGCGGCGGCGGGCCGCTCCGCCTACTTCCCGGTCGTCTTCAGCCAGTACGACCCCGAGGTGGTGTACGGCGGCGGCGGCCGGGCGGCCGCCGACGTCGACCGCTACGCCTTGAGCGCCGGCACGGGCCTGTGGAGGAACTTTGGCTTCGGCGTGGTGTGCGCCCATAAGGGGGACCTGGTGCGCGCGGGCGGCTTGGACACCTCCATCCGGGGCTGGGGCCTGGAGGATGTGGACCTGTTTGACAAGTTCCTGCGCTCGGGCGCCGCCGCGCCCTTCCGCAGCAGCGACCCGGGCGTGGTGCACGTGCATCACCCGGTGGCCTGCGACCCCGAGCTGCAGCCCAGGCAGTACAAGATGTGCTTGGGGTCCCGGGCGTCCTCGCGGGGCTCCGTCCGCCAGCTGGCCCGGCTCTGGCTGGACAAGAACCACGCGGGCCCCGCGCCGCCTGTCAACGCCTCGCTGCGGACGGCCTGACGCCCATTTCGTGCGCGCGGGCGATGCCGGCGCCTCGGCCGGTCGCTTTGGCTGCATTGGGGGGCTTTTTGCTGCCGGCCAAAGTTTGACTTGCGATGATTTTGTCATCGCACGCAAACGCAAACTGAAACGACTCACCGGCGGAGGCCTCCCGTCCCGTCCGGACGCCGGCTGCCGACATCGCGCGCCCTTGAAAGGCATTTCTTGACATTTCTTCGTAACCGCAAACCGCTCCAATTTGGCCACAGCGGTCAGCCGTCCCATTTTCCCAACTCTCGCTCGGGTGAAGTGCCCCCCCCCCCCCCGCGCGAGCAGATGAAGCGTTTTCACCGCTTGTCGTCACTAGCCAAACGCCAAATGCGCTCGCTCACGCGCACGCACGCAGACAGTTTTGAGTTTGAATTTTCAACCGGCCGTTGGAAGCGCCGGCGGATTTGGTCGGCCTTTTTTTCGGGCCCTCGACGACGACGACGGCTGAATTTCGCATGTAATTGATTGACTTTGACGACTCGGGCTCACCAAAGACCCGCCCGGGCGCCTGCCGCCCCCCCCCGTGCGCACAAAGAGACGCTTGCGAAACACTCTCTCGATTGTTGAGTCAGCGTCGGCGTCTCGGGCGGGCCCCTCGGTCGCAAAGTTGAGCGGGAACTCTGGGGGGGGGGCTTGCGCTTTCTTGTCGGGCCACGTGTGACGACACAAAGACGGAATGACGTCTTTCTCGTTTTGATTTGGTTTTCTATTCTCCTTCGACTGTGTCCAAGCGGAATGTTTTTCTATTCAACAAATAACAATAAAGCGGGGAGGGAAACGTTTGAGTCTTTGCTTCGTCGCGTTGGACAAAACATTCCTGAAAATTCCATCAGCGGCAAAAGCGGTCATTGCCTGACTGCGGCGCTTTCACAACAGCCGCAGCTGTAACACGGCGCTTGACTTTGACGTTCTCGGTTGGCATCAAATGACAACGTAACACAACACGAGACATAGCGTAAAAAACCGTTTCAATTCCAAGCGGCGACTCTGCCTTCCAAATCCGCATCGGCGCGGAGCCATCCGAAACTTCCCTTTTCACACTAACTTTCACGTCAATTCTATTTCTTACTTTTAAGCGACTCGAAGAACAAAAAAAGACGACAAATACTGCTACCGGTCACTTGAAAATGGTTCAATGATTTTCTGCACCAACTGTTCTCGTCTCGTATTCGACCACTGATCACTTTGGCTCCGCTCGACACTTTGCACATTGTCTCACAGTTGTCATCGGGTGGTACCGCCGCACTGCGGTTCACTTACATGACGGAATGTCCTGACCTTACTTATCTGTCACGTCCTTGTTGATGAAGATACGAATGCAGCGTGTGAATCACACGCTGCATCACACGGTGTGATGCCGGAGACAAATTCCTTGTGTGTTCTACATACTTGGCCAAGAAAGATGATTCGGATTCTGAAAACTGTAAATGCTTCAAGAAATACTGGTTGTTGTTGTTGTTTTTTTTTCGACACTATTATTTCATGTTTCGAATACTACGTTAGTTCAAAGAATGTAGGATAGTGTTCTGTGCTTGTTGGTTGCGAAACAGATTTTTTTGGAGCGGGGGCGGGACTAGGATTGTGCAGGCCCACCACACTCCATTTCAGACGGTGGCGTCATGCGCCACAAGTTGGTTGCCAACCGCCACAACACAGAAGAAGAAGAAGAAGAAGAAGGAAAATGACGACGACGACGACGTCCCCCGACGGGTCGCCCCGGGAGCTCGCCGCCGTCCTCGTCGACGTTTATCGGCGTTGCCTGAGCGCGCGCGCCGACACCGCGAGACCGAAGCGGGACGCCGAGGAGCTGGCGCGCGCGATCCTCGACGGCGTGCGCGCGCACCGTCGCCACGGCGACGGCGCGGCGGACGCGAGCTGCTTGGCTCTGACGCTGGTCGGCCGGGCGGTCGCCGAGGCGACGGCCGGGACGCCGCGCGACGCCCGCTTCCGCCGGGACGTGCTGGAGGCCCTGCTTCGGGACTCGGACGTCGTGTCTCGGATGGTGAGTGAGTGAGTGAGTGAGTGAGTGAGGCTCGCTCGGAACGCTCGAGCCGAGGCTAATGCTAACGCTAAGGCTAACGCGCTGCAGGTGGCCGAGTTTGGCTGCGAACACCCAGTGCTGCGTCACTTGGCTGCCAAGAGCGCCTCCGCGTGTGTCCTCTACCAACTGCAAGTGTCCGTAAGTACTTTGGGGGAAACCGAGCGGGCTTTTATATGCGGCGGCTCTCGTTTGTCTCGATGCCGGCACATAAAAACACCGAATCCGCAACTAGACACCCACTTCGCTAAGAAGCGACGTTTCCGCACGCGGGACTGGTGCGGCGTCGCTGGAGGCAGATGCTTGCCAATGAAAAATACGCTCGCTCTTCGTTGGGTGCTTTGTTTGAAAGCATTCGAAGGAGTGAAACCGAGCCAGCCCCGCAAGCCCGAGCTCCTCCAGCCCACTCCGCTTTCCTTGACGTGACATCCCGGTGACACGTCACGTCGCGTGTGTGTGTTTTGCCTTTCAATGACACGCGTTTGCTGTCGTCGTCGTGCTTCCGCATGCGTGATTGACACGGCGACGTATGTGACGACAGGGCTCGGTTCATCCCGAGTGGCGCGGGACGTGCGAGCGGGCGCTGCTCAGCTTGCCCGCCGGCCCCGAACTGGACTCCTGTTTGTGGTCGCTGACGTCCGTCCTCCAGAAACTTCTGCGCGACCATCGTCAAGGTCAAATGGCACACGTCCTCCGCCGATGACAGCGACTGGACTGGACGGCTTTGCCTTTGATCCATCAGAACTCGTCGGGACGCTCGTGACGGTCTTCGACGCAAGCGTCGGCGTCGCGGCTCGGAGGTTCCTTTCCGCGGACCGGAGCGCCCGGGGCGCGGGGGGTGCCGCCGACACCTTTTGCCTGCTGCTGGACCTTCTGGAAATCCTCGCGGCGTCCGGTCCCGCGCCGTCCGGCGGCGCGAGGAGCCCGCACCTGACGCACGTCCACGCCGCCGCCCTGCTCGCCGCCGTCAACCGAGCG